GACCTGAAATCTTTTAATCTAGACCCAATCATTAATCAATTTTCAAGCTATTTGAGAGTAAAATAAATATAAGAGAAAAACACTCTCCTTTACCAGTGGTTCCAATCAGATGTATAAGATGGCTTTCACTCGAAATAAGAGATCAAAAGCCCGTTTTCTTTTTCTTTTGAGACAAAGTCAGGGCCTAGTTAACATCACTGATTTGTTTATTTATTACTATTATGACTGAACAAAATTATAACATTTAATAATAGCATTGATAATGATAATAGTCAAATATATGACATTTTTCTTGAAAATTCAAGGATAAGAATAATAAGATACTCCTTGGTGGTTCTGATGTCATCTATGAATAAACATTAAGAAAACTAAACAATAGTGGACAGTGGATGTACTATGAGGCACCAATCAGCCATTTCTAATGACACCACTAACAATGGGACTTACACTTACATTATAACATATCATGCAGCTGAATAAGATAAGCGGTCTTGTCCTAAATAAAATCCCATTTTGCCTCACATCCTTGTCAGCTGAATGCCTGATGAAAACGATTACCCAGATATTTTTTGAATATCATATATTCCATGGCGGCTTTGTTTTGTTCTAAAAGGTTAAATAACAGAAAGACACGAAGAGGATATATTTATTGGTTCAAGGCTGCATACAAAACCCATGTTCACCTCAGTCCTCCACACACAAGAATCAACATGTATCTTATCTGATCAAATATACCTCTTATTGCTTGAGATTTTCATATAATTTAAATAAATGTGTGTGTGTTTGTGTGTGTGTAAATGCGTTTATGTGCATGCGTGTGCATGTACATGTGTATTTGTGTGTGCATGTGTGTGTTTGTGTGTGCATGTGTGTGTTTGTGTGTGCATGTGCGTGTGTGAGTGTGCGCATGTGATCATAAAATAAGAGGAAAAAAAAAATCATTACTTTTGCTGCAGAGGATAAAGGATGACCTCTGTTACAATCATCTATAATAACACAGGCATTTGTTCAATGTGGATACACTTACAACTTAAGATTATGGAATGTGACCCCAAGCTTCTGTATGTTTGATCGTCACTCCTTTATTATGAGTGCTTTTCTGATTGTCAGTGTTGCAAATCAAGAAAAATTAAAAAATAAATTTAAAAACATAATAATAAGTTGAACCATTAAGATGCCATGCTTGCCTTGGGAGAGGGAGAGGTGGGGAGAGGGATAGAGTAATAATTATATACATATCTTTTTTAACTGCATCTCTGTTAGTGTTAAATGTACCTCACCCTTACCAGTGTACTTCCAGTGTCATTTTCTTTGGTTTGGCAAATGCTGTTGCCGAGGGTGTGAAAAGTGCATGTCTAAAAAATTCCTCACACTGTACCTGTTACTTACACAAAAAACAACATCAGGAAAGAGGACAGAAAAGGAGCAAAAGGAGAATAATTAAAACAATAAAACAGAATACAGTACATCAATCTATATTGCAAAAATATAAGACATACATACATACATATAATAAAATAAAAATCATAATGAATCATCATAAAAGAAAGGAGAGAAAATGAGGAACAGAAAGAGGGATAAAGCGGCCACTAAAACAGCTCAGGATCACCAATGAGAGGCGGCACAACCTGGACCCCAATGTTGATAAATAAAAGCTTTCTGCTGAAGAGATACGTATGCCAACCAACCAATCCAACAGAACAAGCAAATTATACATGCAACTGACCAATTAACTGTACACATGTTAATTAGGACTAGATTATAATAAATAAAAACAAATGAAGTGGAATTAATGATTTATCATTGTGGTTTCTCTTTGCTTGTAAAAAGTAAAAAAAAAAGGAGAGAGAAGAAATGGGAAGGCAAGGGGATGGAGAGAGATGGAAGGAGGGAGAGAGGGAGGAATGGGAGGGGAGGGAGAGGAGAAGAAGAAGAAGTAGGGAGGGAGGAGAGGAGGAAGGAGGGAGGGAGGGAAAGGAGAAGAAGATGAAGTAGGGAGGGAGGAGAGGAGGAGAGGGAGAGAGAAACATAAAGAAGTATAAAACTCATTCAAGATAATGATATCCATGAACTATGAAGTCTTGACCCAAGAACTGCAGTGACAAAAAAATAAATGACAAGTAGGCAAAATGTAAAGAGAAAAAGAAAAGTAACGAGAAAAAAAAGTACAAAGAGAACACAAAAAAGGAGACATATGACAAAAGATATGGGAGAAAAGAAAAAATAATATCACATAAACCTAAGACAAAAGCCCAAGGAAACCAGTGGAGCCAGAACAAGTAAATCAGGGTCAGTTTACGTCTCCCTGGCAAAGGCACTGCAAGTTCCTCGAGCCCTGCATAGCACTGGAATGTGTCGAACCACAGTGTGATTAAGGTCTCTGCATTCCTCTTTCATTTCTGTACTCTGGTCTCTTGGTATGATGAGCAACAGGATTTGAAAATTTAACTAAGTTGTTGTCACAAAATAACCTCTTGGCTTGTCTTTAGCTGAAGAAAGAGAAAAAAGGACATCCATTATAAACATTTCTCTGCATTGTTCATACACATACAATTCTCTAACAACTGCTCAAAGCACTGTACAATTTCAGCAAGGAGGCTTAATAATATACTTGAAGAAAAGGGAAGGAAATGAATAACACAAAGAAAGAACATAGCTTATTTGTATAAACTAGCTTTAAAAAACTCTATTACATATGGACATTAAACGGATTTATAAGAACCAGTAAAGCACACTAAAGAAAAGATATAAACTTAGACCAACTCAATATGCTATTCCTCAAGTGCTGCTCATGAACAACAGCCCAAGACGAAGACTGATTTCACAAGTGCAATGACAATAATGAAAAAGCAAACAGAGTTGACAAAAATACTCTGTAAAACATGTTGACTGAACATCTTGCATGGGAATCTGATCTAGTGGCTCCTAGATCTCATCCGCAGGCTTTCTCTCATACTACATTCCTTCACACTTCCAATGCATACATTTTTTTTTTAACTTCCACAAAGCATTGACTTCATTTTAAAATAGACAGCATATTCGTGATTTTCTTATGTTACAAGTTATGCATTATATACATATAAGGCAAATATCTACTTTTCAAAATATATCCAACAAACTGCTCTATCTCTTTTTTTTTTTCTTTTTTGTCTCTCTTTTTACATATATATAACAGACGCAAGCACACTCGGCCACAGAGGAAAACCAAAGGTTTCCTTCCTCTTCACCTGCACTCAGATAGCACGAGTGGGTCCTCTTTATCCGAGTCTCTGTTCCGAGCTTCAGAGGTCATTCCCCTTCCATCTGCCTGTTGTGGACCTGCTGAAGAGGGGGTACAGGAGGAGGGGGGAGGGGAACCACTCCATTTTTGAGTCTATTGGCAGGTGGGCATGCTGTTCCAAAAGGGCTGAGAGGGGGAAAGGGGCAGGAGAAAGGGACTGATGGGGGTAGGATGGGAACGCAAGGATCCTCTGCCTCACAGTGCAGCACAACCCGATGACTTTGAAGGAGACTAAATGAGCGAGCGAGATGACCAGAAGGCTCTCACTCACACTTGTCCTTGACGGTGAGCATGATGAGGTTGGTCTGGTGAATCAGGTAGGTGGCACTCACGAACACTGCATTGGCTCTGCAAGAATGACATTACTGGTTGGAGTCTCGGGTCTTCCTTAGAAATGACTACAACAATTACTAACAAAAAACACACACATACATACATACATACATACATACATACATACATACACACACACACGTGTGGAACCTTACAAGCACATGCAAATAGCCACTCACAATCTCTCTCTAAAAAAAAATCTTAAAATCAAAACTAGTAATATTTGTCTTTAACCCCTCAGTGACGGGTACAGCTATAGCAGTCACGACATAATAGCCTATGACGTGTATACACGTCACAACTCGCAGCAGGTTGGTCAGCTGTAAACAGCTTAGCCCTAACCACAAAGTCTAGACTGTTCTGTAATATCATAAATAAATCAGGTCCCATCACCATGACATTAAAGCAGACAAGGTGTAGTAACCAACAAAAATTATATAGATGAAAAAAGATACATGATAACCCTCCCATAACAGACATATGATGAATACAGAAAAGCAACAATGTCATATTATAATAATAATAATAATAATAATAATAATAATAATAATAATAATAATAATGATAATAACAATGGTAACAATAAGCAAGAGTAATAGTAATAATAATAGTAATCAATATAATAATCATAACAATGATGATGATGATGATAATAATAATAATAATAAAAACACATTAAGTTATAGTAATAGTGGTAATAGCATCAATTAATAATAACAATGATAATATTAATAATAACAATAACAACAATACTAAAAAAATAGCTATAGCCACAGAAATAATAACAGCAACAGTAGCAGCCTCCTCTCCCCTGCTCCTTAACAACTTACTGTCCCTCCTTGAAGTACTCCTTTAAGGTGTTGCTGAACTTCTTGCTGTGTTTGACAAAATCGCGCTTGCGGTGCTCCAGCGATTGCTTCCCTTGTGTGCCGGGGATGTACTGTGAAACCTCGGAGACAGCGTCCAGGAGCTTCTTGATGGCACTGGCAATCTCCCTGTTGTAGGGAAGAGGGGGGAAGGGGAATGTTGGAGGTTAAGTGTTTGAGCTGCGGTACGACGGTGAGGATGATGATAAGGACATTGGTAGTGGTCATGATTGTGATGCTGATAATGGTGTTTGTGATTATGATAAGGCAAATGATAATGATGTTTGGTATTATCATTATATTATGATAATGGTGTTTGCAATTATCATTATGCGAATGATAATAATGTTAGGTTTAATTTCAATAATAAAAACAATAAATGTTATCCTTTTAAAAATTATTTACAATAATAATCGTAAAAATGATATCAATGATAATAATAAAAGCGATACTTATCAATCTTAATTACATATATCTACACACAAAAAAATTGGTAAAAATGATAGCAGTATTGATACCCC